ATAAGGACAGGCACTGGCCCGAATTTTAAACAGTTGTTTTATGTTTTTTAAGTTCATGCATTAATTGACCCTGTTTGTAACTATAGATGTGACGATAGGTATTGGAATTTAGACTGCAGCCTCCCGTGCCACTCATTACTTCATGGAAAGTCTTAAGAAGATCATTTCTCCGACCGCCATTTCAGTCACGTATCACTCAAATGTTTGATCACACCTTGAGCATCTGCTTGAAGTTTGACGAAACATCCTGTGTCAAGTCATGTTCTTAAAGTTTAGGCTGTGGCAGGACCTGTCATATCTCATTTCCATGCCGGACACCTGTGCTTTTAACCTGTTATTTTATCGAACGCATGTAAACTGTGCCGGATATAAATGAGCGACGCATGGTGCTCTTATCCAATTGTTTGCTTATCCTTTAAGTGATAAGGCTGCAAGGGAAATCCTCCCTCGTTATGTGGGATCATTATCAAAACCGGGTCAGCCATAGAAACAATATTTCACCATCTGACGCTCGTGGACGCGCCACCATTACCTTCCGCGTATTACTTAACGTTATATTGCTGCACGGGCATAGTTTTGTATGCAAATATGTCCTAAATACAGTGTCTTTCACAGTTAGCGTGGTTCCCTTTAAGATTTTTGATATATATTCTTAACCTTCAATTAAATTAGGAATTTAGAAAACCTCTCGCGTTAAACTTAATTCATTAAGAGGCGCGGCGGTCACCTGGACTTGTTTGCAAAATAGGCGACTATCTCCGTTATTTAGGACACTGGGTATTATCTAAACCATAAAGGTTACCTTCTTTAAATCAGATCTCAAGCTGTTATACCCAGAATATGTTGTCTTTACGTACTCGAAAGTTAAACAAATGCAGATGCTAGTCGGTCCAGTCTTATGATGAGCAGTCATGTTCTAATTGGGGAATGGAATCATCCCATCGAAGACCAAAATTTATTTCAAGTCAAAACTGAACGTTTGAACGAAAGCTTATGCCTTCCATTAACATTTAAATCGACCCTTAACTAACATTTTTACAGATTCTGCGGTTGATTAGGTTTCTCTTCCAAAAGGCGTCAAACAAATCGCCGATGAGGCTATCGTTTTCAAATTTACCAATTTCCTCAAGTCTCTTAAAAAGATAGGGGGATTTACTCATGCATCATTTTATGTGGCATGCCGGTATTTATTCCGATGCCAAAACAATCGGTGGTGGTGATGAGGATAAAGACAAGTATGTACCTTCCTTTTAGGCAACCACTTCAGGCCTGTCTCGTGGTCAGGACGGGGCATCTGCCAG